ATGCCTACCTACGGTGACCCGAACCACCTGGTGTCCGCCACCATGAGTGGGGTCACTACCTGCCTATGCTTCCCAGGCCAGCTCAATTCTGACCTGCAGAAGCTGGCCATGAATATGGTCCCATTCCCCCACCGGCACGTTTTCATGCCCAGCTTTGCCCTACTGACCAGCCAGGTAAGCCAGCTGTCCTGGGCCCTGACAGTGTGCGAGCTCACCCAGCATATGTTGGGTGCCAAGAACATGATGAGAGCCTGCGACCCCCTCCATGGCCGCTACCTGATGGTGGCCATCATGTCCAGTGGCCACATGGCCATGAAGGAGGTGGACACAAAAGCTTAACGTCCAAAATGAGAACAGCAGCTACTTTGTCGAGTGGATCCCCAACAATGAGAAAACGGCTGTCTGTGACATCCTGCCCGGAGGGCTAAAAATGTCTGCCACCTTCATTGGCAACAGCAGGGCCATCCAGGAGCTGTCCTAGTGCATTTCGGAGCAGTTGACAGCCACGTTTCCGCACAAGACCTTCCTGCACTGCTATATGGGCGAGGGCCTGGACTAGATGGAGTTCACCAAGGCCAAGAGCAACATGAATGACCTGGTGTTCGAATAACAACAGTACCAGGATACCACAGCAGAGGAGGAGGGCGAGTTCGAGGAGGAGGTGGCCTACAGCCTCCAGTCACCGGAGAAAGCAGGGAAGCAGTGTGAACTCTTTATTCACTCCCAGCCTGCCTTCTGGCCTGTGCCTCTGTGTGTGCACTTGCTGTTTTCCCTGTCTGTGTCCCATGCTGTACAGACAATATTATTAAAGCATTTTTATAGTGAAAACGAATTTCTTTTGGTTTATTTCCCTGTGATCTTTTTTTGCCCAATATACATTTTGTCTTCTATAAAATACCTGAACACCTACTGAATACTTCTGTGTGTGGCTGCATATGTCATGAATAATAATTATCTACAGATCACAGATATCTATCAGGGTTTAACTGTGTATGCATTCCTATAATCTCTTCATCTCATAAGAATCTGAGGCTATTCCTTATCTTTTGAAACAGAGATTGGCAATCCTGGGTTCTGAGCTGTTACACCCTAAGCTTAGCAAACATCAGTGAACATCTTATGCTGATCTTCTGAGTGTAAATAGTTTCATGTAACTGGTGGGAGGGATGAGGTTCTCCTATTTGGCAGCTATTTTGCAAGATGCTTTCCTTATGGGCTTGGTCTCCTTTTCCTCACCATGACCTCATAACCACATCAGTCCCAGCTCATTTCTGAAAAAGCTGGGGCTCTGAGCCCCACTGAGAATTGGTGTCTGGGCTCAGGCAGCAGGGACACAGTGAAGGGGGAGGATTTTGCAGGCCAAGGTTGGGAGATGCAAAGCTGGGAGTTGCAGGGGAGAGAGAGGTTGCTGGGGATAGGATGATGCCAGAACAGCTCAGGATTGGCCTTGAGTTCCCCACCAGAGTTGACCTGATTCTGAAGACCAAGACCACAGCTCCAGTAAACCACATCCATCCTCATTGTTAGTCTCCTGGGGGACATAAAATCTAGGGGAGACAGCGTCCCCTGACAGAACAAAGTTAAATTTCCCAGAGGTCTAGGCAGTCATTCACCCTGATCCAGAGCCTTCACACATCCAGGGAAAGAATTGTCATTCCTACAGATAATGGACTAAGGCCATAATTCCCTGTGCACACCCAGACATCTGAGCTCTTTCACGGTGGCTCTGTGGGGCCCTCATGCAGCTTCCATGTTCCTGCTCACACTGCTTGGCCAGCCAGGAGCCTTGCAGCTCCACCTGAGTTACACAAACCCCTGAGTGACACCAACCCACTCCAGCCTTCTCTTCCACAGCCTCCTGTTTATTTCCAGGAGATTCGGTCTCTTTCTTTTGCACCCTGAGTCCCTTCACTTGTGCTTCCACTGTGGGTGGTCACAAGCTCTGTGCCCTTTGGTGTGGATCTGTCTGCTGGAGGACACAGGACACCCTGCAAGTCAGGGACTGGTGTCATGTTTTACAGAGATGGCCAAACAGCCCAGGTTCTATACACACCTGCAAAACTGCTATTTCTGGCTTCTATACACAATCTCTGGCTGGGAATTGCAGCACTTTGGAAGGCATAAGTTGGCAGATGACATGAGTCTGGGAGTTTGAGACTAGCCTGGGCAACATGGTGAAACACGGTCTCTACAAAATGTTAAAGAGAGAGAGAGAGAGAGAGAGAGAGACAGGCATGGTTGCTCACACTTGTAATCTGAGCACTTTGGGAGGCTGGGGTGGGTGGATCACCTGAGGTCAGGAGTTCGAGACCAGCCTGGCCAATGTGGTGAAACCCTGTCTCTACTAAAAATACCAAAATTAGCCAGGTGTGGTGGTACACACCTGTAGTCTCACCTACTCAGGAAGCTGAGGCAGAAGAATCACTTGAACCTGGGAGGCAGAGGTTGCAGTGAACTAAGATCTGAGATCACACCACTGCACTCCAGCCTGGGTGACAAAGTGAGACTCCATCTCAAAAGAAAAAAGAAAGAAAGAAAGGCTGGGCAGTGTGGCTCATGTGTGTAATCCCAGCACTTTCGGAGTCCAAGGCAAGCAGATCATGAGTCAATCAATAGATCAAGACTGTCCTGGACAACATGATGAAACCATGTCCCTACTAAAAATACAAAAAAATTAGTTGGGCATGGTGACATGGACCAGTAGTCCCAGCTACTTGGGAGGCTGAGGCAGGAGAATTGCTTGAACCTAAGAGTCAGAGGTTGCAGTCAGCCAAGATGACACCACTGCATTACAGCCTGACAACAGAGTAAGACTTTGTCTCAAAAAACATAAAGATAAAAATAAAAAAGTGCCAAATGTGGTGGTGTGTGACTGTAGCCCCAGCCACTCCTCTGGAGGCTAAGGTGGGAGGATCACCTGAACCCCGGAGGTGGAGGTTGCACTGAGCCAGGATTGCACCACTGCACTCCAGCCTGGGTGATGCAGTGAGGCTCTGTCCCCACAAAAAATAAAAAATCTGTCTTTATCTACAGGAGATATCTGCTGTTAAACTCATGATGAGGAAATAATGCAACCGACTGAGTACTCTCAGAAACTTGAGAAAAGTGACCAAGATCTCCGCCAGTGTTACCTTGTACTGCAAAGCCCTGCAGTACCATCTGCGACATTTCTTTCTATTCACTCGAAAAAAGAAGAGATTGATTTTTTTTTACAAATTACTTTATACCATTCAAATCAACACATCAAGTGGTGCATTTAGAGGTGTTGGTCGAGGTGTCAGAGGCCACGTGACTTGAGGAGGGGGTGAAGTGTGAGGCCAAGTCAAGTAAAGGCGGAGTGTCAGCCGAGACAGCAGGTCAGCCAAGTGAAGGAGGTGGCTGAAGTACTAGAGAAGGCCTAGGGGAAGGAGGTGGCTGAGGGCTGAGAGGTCGTGAGGAGATACTTTAGGTACTAGAGGAGACTCATTTGAAGGTGATAGCTAAGGGAGCCTACCAAGGTAGAGAAGGTGGCCGAGGTGCCAGTGGCCACTAAGTGGACAAGTAGGCTGAGGACCCAGATGCCACACTGCTGGAGGAAGAAGATAAGGTCCAAGAGGAAATACAGCTGGATGAGGTGGATGGGGTCCCCCAGGTAAGACAGATGGATGAGGTGAATGGGGTCCCCAAGGAAAGATAGATGGATGAGGTGGATGGGGTCCCCCAGGACACACAGGGTGATGAGGTGGATGGGGTCCCCCAGGAAACACAGTGCAATGAGGTGGATGGGGTAACCCAGGACACACAGGATGATGAGGTGGATGAGGTCCCCCAGGACACACAGAGGGATGAGGTGGATGGGGTTCCCCAGGACACTCAGGGCAATGAGGTGGATGGGGTCCCCCAGGACACACAGGGCAATGAGGTGGATGAGGTCCCCCAGGACACACAGGGGAATGAAGTGGATTGGGTCCCCCAGGACACACAGAGGGATGAGGTGGATGGGGTTCCCCAGGACAGATAGGATCAGGTGGCTGAGGTACAGCAGGACAGACAGGTGGATGAGGTGGATAAAGTCCCATAGGAGATGCAGCTCGAGGAGATGGTGGAGATCCCACAAAACAAACAGCTGGAAGACATGAAGGAGGTCCCAAAGGACACTCAATTGCTGGAAGTGTCTGTGGTTTCAGAAGATCACCAGCTGGAGAAGATGATGGAGGTACCAGAGAGCACTTGACTGGAGGAGGTGACTGTGGTCTCAGAGAATCTTCACTTGGAGAAGATGATTGAAGTGGCACAGGACATTCAAGTGAAGTAGGTGGTTGAAGTCCCAGAGGACACATGAGTGAAATAGGAGGTTGAGGTTCCAGAAAACACTCAAGTGGTGGAGTTGCCTGTGGCCTCAGAAAATCATTAGCTGAAGAAGGTGGTACAGGTAACAGATTACACTTGGGTGGAGGTGTGTGTGGTCTCAGAAAATCTTCAGCTTGAGATGGTGGTAGAGGTAACAGAGTACACTCGGGTGGAGAGGTGTGTGGTCTCAGAAAGTCTTCAACTTGAGATAGTGGTAGAGATATCAGAGAACACTCAAGTGGACGTGTGTGAGGTCTTAGAACATCTTCAGCTGGCGACGGTGGTAGAGATACCAGAAGACACTCAGATTGAGGTGAGTTGGGTCTTGGAAAATCTTCAGCTGAATACAGAGGTAGAGGTACTAGAGTACACTCAGGTAGAGGTGTCTGTGGTCTCAGAAAATCATCAAGAAGGTGAAGAGATACCAGAAGATACTCTATTGAAATAGGTAGTTGAGGCTGGAGAGGACACTCAAATGGTGGCGCTACCTGTAATCTCAAAAAATTATCAGTTAGAGAAAGTGGTTGAGGACCCAGAGAACACTGGATGGATGGTGTATGTGGTTTCAGAAAATCGTCAGCTGGAGACGATGGTATATGTAGCAGAAGACACTGGAACAGTGGGGTCAGTGGTCTCCAAAGACTATCATCTAGAGAATGTGGTAGAGGTGCCAGAAGACACTCCAGTGGTGGGGTTCATGGTCTCCAACGGTTATCATCTGGAGAAAGTGGTAGAGGTGCCAGAAGACACTCGAATGGTGGTGTCCGTGGTCTCCAAAGATTATCATCTGGAGAAGGTGGTAGAGGCGCCAGAAGACACTCGAATGGTGGTGTCTTTGGTCTCCAATGACTATCATCTGGAGACGGTGGTAGAGGTGCCAGAAGACACTCGAATGGTGGTGTCTGTGATCTCCAAAGATTATCATCTACAGAAGGTGGTAGAGGTGCCCAAAGACAGTCGGGTGGAGCTGTGTATGGACTCAGAAAATCATTGGCTAAGGGAAGTAGAGGGAACAGAAGACCCTCATGTGTAGGTGTCTGTGGTTTCTAAAACTCATCATCTGTAGATGGTGGTAGAGGTGTCAGAAGACACTCAGGTGGAGTTGTGTATGGACTCAGAAAATCATTAGCTAAGAGCGGTAGAGGTAACAGAACACCGTCATATGTAGGTGTCTGTGGTCTCGAAAACTCATCATCTGTAGACGGTGGTAGAGGTGTCAGAAGACACTCAGGTGGAGTTGTGTATGGACTCAGAAAATCATTGGCTAAGGATGGTAGAGGTAACAAAACACCCTCATATGTAGGTGTCTGCAGTCTCAAAAACTCATCATCTGTAGGTGGTGGTAGAGGTGTCAGAAGACACTCGGGTGGAGTTGTGTATGGGCTCAGAAAATCGTGGCCTGCAGAAGGTGGGAGAGATGCCAGAAAACATTCATGTGTAGGTGTCTGTGGTCCCCAAAAATTATCAGTTGGAGAAGGTGGCTGAGGTCCTAGAGGACACTGGAGTTGAGGATTTGTCAGAGGTCCCAGAACACCTTTAGCTGATGGAAATGGTTGAGCTCCCAGGTGACACCCAGATGGAGGAGGTGGCTGGCAAGCCATCAGTGGCTTTGAAGGATCAGCCATGAGGTAGGGGGAGTAGGGCAATCCTGAGCAATGACGATGCTGTGCTGCAGCCATGTTAACCTGCAGACAGAAGGAAGAAGTGTTTTGAAATGTATTAATTTGATGGACAGAACCACCATCAACAACACAGGCTGAACCTTATGTTGCTGTTAGTTTTTTGCACCTTTGCATCCTCCGGGTTTCAAAATAGCACATCAGTATCATAAAGTCACTCTTCCACTAAGTACCACCGACAGCTGGGGAGTGAGGAAAAGTAATTGGGACAAACTGTTTTCTCCACATGCCACTATGCCTGTCTGCAAATGTAGGCAGGCTGGGGACCTGCCCCAGGGGAGACAGAGTCATAGCGCAGTAAGGAAGAAGCACGTTTCCAACACGGGAGTGCCTATGTCTATCCTCATTCCTCCCTCACCGCCGTCACCAGAGCATGCTCCTTGCATCAGATAAACAGCGAGTAAGAGAGGCATGAAAAGCCCATTGTCCACACATGTGTTGCAGCTTCTTTTTGGAGAATGTCCCCCAGGCCTTTTATGTTCTGTCTCTGATTCTCAGAACTCTGCAAGTCAGTGTGACCACCTGCTCCAAATCTAAGAAAACAGAGGCTCCCCGAGGAAGGAGAGCATGTGCCCAGGGTCACACAGCTTGCAGGAGGCACAGTGGGAGTTGATTCCAGCTTTGCCTGCAGGACCCTCTCATTTCCCCTCTGCTTCCCTTCTTGACAAAAGGTCTTGTTCATTCTGGGGGTTCCCCCCATGAGCACAAATGGCTCTAGGGAAATGTGGGTTCCTGAAGACATTCAGGGGAACTGGAAGAAAGTTTTCTGATGGAACAATCCGACATACAGAAGTCAGTTAGGCACAGCTAGAATATTTCTTTGAATTCCCAGGCTATACAAATTTTAAGTGCATTATGACATAAATAATACTTTTGTACATGGGAAAATGAGGTATGAATTCTGAAAAAAGCAAGCTTTAGAAATGCGTTCAATTTCAAGTGTACAGTTCCCATCATGTGTAATCATAAGCCTCAGCAGCTATTGTAAGTACAGAGGCCACACGAGAACGAGCATAACTGAGCATCAATTAAAGCCTTCATTGGGAATCGTCGCTGTGGGTAATCGGTTACATTCACTTTCACTAACTCACAGTCAAGACATACTGTATTTTCTATTACAAGTACATAAACTCTGACACTTAGAATATTAGATCAGGGCACCACTGAAGCGGGGTGAAGGCGGGTTTTTACACAACACAGTTTACAACAGGAATGGGACTGTGATTAACTATGGAATTGACCTTGTTGAAGGGCACTCAAAACTGCACAAAGCACATATGAATATTGGATTAATGAGTTTTCACTTTCATCACTTCTGGGCATACAGCAGTTATTTCAAATGTTAATCACCTACCTTATAGAAGAAAACAAACAAAATCACAGCAAAATAACACCCCACATGTTTCTGAAATAGATCCCACAACACCTTGAGTAAAAGAGATCAGTCAGAGTTCACTGGGCCATGAGGCCTACAGAGGGGGAGGTCGGTGACATTCCTCATGTTATTTCTGGAAACAGAACAGTAAAAGCCCTTCAGCCCTCAGTCCCTAAGCATTGACGGCTTCTGGAGGCGCCACCCAAGATGACTAGCTGGGAATGGAGAAGCCAGAAAGCTTATGGGGAAGATGTTGCTTCTGAAAAAGTCCAGACAGAAAACATATCACAGAACCCACAGAGCAGAGGCCAGGCCAGGAGAGAGTGATGGAGAAAAAGAATACAGTGTCCTGATACAGGCAGAGTGAAAATGACCCCAGCATTTACCTTTGTCTTCTCTGTGTTTTCAGTTGGGACGCAGCTGCTGTTCCTCATGGGAACCGAATGAGGTCCTGAATCTGCTAAGGGCCAGAGAAGGGAATGGCGCTAAATCTGGCTTCCATGTTCTGTGCCGAATAAGAAACCCTCCACGCCCTCCGCTGCCATCTCACTCTCTTTGCCACACTCATGTCCCTTACCAGAGGCACAGGGTTTATTGGCAGATGCCTCAGAGGACTCTGGAGCCCTCTGGGCCTCAGCCCTGAGGAAGACACTGCAGATCCCTGGTCCTGGGGTATTCTTAACTCTCAACAGGCTGTGGACAGGTCAGGCTCTAACCAGCTGGAAATGAGCTTGAAATCAGGGGTTCCCAGTACACATCAAAGGAAATCACCCATCATGTGATCGCAGACTCCAAATTAAAATAGAAACAGCCATAGATGGGAAGAACATTTATAGGCCCAGGACAGCAGCAGCACTGCTGCTTTTCTTCAAGCTATAGGGGCATTTAAAATTCTGTGGATTCGTAGTGAATCTATCCTCCATATCTCACCAGGCATTGTCAATATTTATGAAGAGAAATGAATATAAAGAGACTAATACTCATGAGAAAAGGTCAGATTTACAGAAATTAAATGGAGGCTGGGTGTGGTGGCTCACACTCGTAATCCCAGCACTTTGGAGGGCCAAGGTGGGCAGATGACTTGAGGTCAAGAATTAGAGGCAAGCCTGGCCAACATGGTGAAACTCTGTCTCTACTAAAAATACAAAATGAAAAAATTTGCCAGGCATAGTGGCAGGCGCATGTAGTCCCAGTTACTTGGGAGGCTGAGGCAGGAGAATTGCTTAAACCTGGGAGGCGGTTGTTGCAGTGAGCAAGAATCGCACCACTGTACTCCAGCCTGGGTGACAGAGCAAGGTTTTCCAAACAAAAAGAAAAGAAAGAAATTAACTGGAAAGTTTTAGGGTCACACTTTAAATGTTAGAGGAGTAAGATTACACAGATATTTAGCTTACTAAAGGAGTTATATAATTCACAATAAACAATTTAAACCAGCAAAAAGAATGGAGTTCCGAAAAGTGCAAATAAATGATTCTTAAAGCAGACCTCATGATACTGCCTTATTGATCCATGAAGACATTGCCCAAAAATCTCTGTTCTTATCAGCACTTACAGCTCCCATTTAAAATGTTATTGTTGGATTTTTCTCAAATGAAAGAAAAATAAAGCCTTCACACTGACTCAAGGTGGGAAGGGGAGCTGGCCCATTTGCCTTGCAGGCTTGTCTTCGCAGTTAAAAGTAACCAAGACGTCAGGGTGGGGCAATGTTCACAGTCAGTGGAGGGGCCTGAACTGTACCACTCACAGGGGACCAGCCAAGAGCCATTCAGCTAAGACGCCTGAGAAAAATGGGGCCCTGTCACCCAATGGGACAACTCTTTTCTTCATAAGTGCTTGAACTGTTTCCAGGAAATATGACAATTACCCCACCCGAGCCCTCACCCCCAAAAGGGAGAGGCGGGGTGTGTAGATTTTGCAGCAGAAATTAAGCAGCTGTCTTCATGGGAGCTCCTACCTCTCCAGAAAGCGTTCTCCAGGCACAGGCGTTTCTGGACTGGCTCCTCACTCATGTGTCTCTTTGGCACTCTCTGCTTTCTCTTCCTTTCCCATTTAGAAAACAGAGAAAGAATTGACTTGAAGAAGAATTAAAACACCATGTTCTTTACTAGACACTCAAAGCTTCATCTTAAAACAAAAACATCCTTAAAAGTGACCGTCACAACTGGGCACGGTGGCTCACGCCTGCAATCCCAGCACTTTGGGAGGCTGAGGTGGGCAGATCACCTGAGGTCGGGAGTTTGAGACCAGCCTGACCAACATGTAGAAACTCTGTCTCTACCAAAATTACAAAATTAGTCAGGTGTAGTGGTTCATGCTTGTAATCCCAGCTACTCGGGAGGCTGAGGCAGAGAATTGCTTGAACCCAGGAATTGGAGGTTGCAGTGAGCTGAGACTGCACCACTGCACTCCAGTCTGAGAGAAAGAGCGAGATTCTGACTCAAAAAGAAAAAAAAATCCTTTACAATGACCTACCTGTGCTTCTTGTAGGCAGGCTTCCTCTCAGCCGTCTTCCTCTCGAAGGCTTGAGCACAGAGCTGTGGAAAGAAAAATACATCCACGTCCTGACCCGGCAGACTATGTCCAAAAGCAAGGAAAACAAACAAACAAAACTTACCCAGTTGTCAAACTTACCCTTTCTTGCAAAGAGACGATCTGAAAAAGCCACCACGCCCAGCCTGAAAGAACATCTTTCAAGTTCTTTGTAGAATTTGTTTTTTCTGATTTTAACTCCCAGAAATTTGTATTACCTGGGAGTTAAAATCAGAACCGACACTTTAAAAAATATCCCCACCCCAGGCATGGTGGCTCACGCTTGTAATCCCAGCACTTTGAGAGGCCGAGGTGGGTGGATCACTTGAGATTGGGAGTTTCAGACCAGCCTGGCAAACACGGTGAGACCCCATCTCTACTAAAAATACAAAAATTAGCTGGATGTGGTGGCAACTGCCTGTCGTTCCAGCTGCTCATGGAGGCTGAGGCAGGAGAATCACTTAAATCCAGGAGGTAGAGGTTGCAGTGAACCAAGATCACACCATTATACTCCAATCTGGGTGACAGAGCCAGATTCTGTCAAAAAAAAGAAAACTTCCCCCAATTTATATCGACAATTCTCTGTTCAGGACTAAGTGGGGTAGAGACTGTAAAATGCGGCAGGGCATGGTGGCTCACACCTGTAATCCCAGAACTTTTGGAGGCTGATGCAGGTGGATCACCTGAGTTCACAGTTCAAGACCTGCCTGGCAAAAATAGTGAAATCCCATCTCTACCAAAAATACAAAAATTACCCGGAAATAATGGTGCACTATAATTCCAGCTACTTGGGAGGCTGGGGCAGGAAAGTCACTGGAACCTGGAAGGCAGAGGTTGCAGTGACCTGAGATTATGCCACTGCACTCCAGCCTTGGCCAGAGAGTGAGGCTTCGTTTCCAAAAAAAAAAGGAGAGACTGTTAAATGTGCCTAGATATCTTCATAACTCATCTATTTTGTTTTCTACGTATCATGAAAGGCAGTCCCAAAGGGTAGGTAATTATCTAGAATGTAAAAATAAAACGTACTTCCTCTTCCCTTGAATATAAAACAGCATTGTGGGATTAGTGAGTGCTTTTTCCTTGGATCATTGTTCAGAAGGAGGGTCAGCCCCCAGACAACCACATTTTTTACTGTCATGAAAGGCAAGAGAAAATATAGAGCTCAATTTACCCAATGGACAAAAAAGCTCAAATGATGGCACAACTTAGCAGCCAAATTCCTATCAAGTACAGACTTTGGACATACTGATCCCTCTCCACCTGCAACCGGGAACATGCACTTTGATGACGTCATTCAAAATGACCCTGCCCAGACACACTTTTCACTGATTCTCTGAAGGGCAGTTCCAACAGATTCTCTGGGGCTTTCTCTGCATCATGAGATGCCGTGCAGCTCTGCCCTTCACCTTCCTGCAGTTTGTCGCCTTGTCCCTATGATCTCAGAGGAACTTTGTCTCAGGCCAACTGTTTGATCCTTGGACTCTTTCATTTCCTTTAAAATTCATTTGCTGCCCCTCTAAATTGCCTCCACCTCCATCTATCTCCCTCGCCCCTGAAAAGAGGGTGCTTTTTAACCATCTGACCCTTCTTACAGTCTCATTTTTTGCCTGGCTCCCATGTTTATGCCTGTCCTATGCTTTTCTTCTCCTGTTAAGCTGTCTGTTGTTAGTTCACTTCTGCAGTGAACCATTAGAGAGGACAGTGAAAGCTTTCCTTCCAGCTACACAATAGAATTATAAAGCAGAAAAGTTTAGACAGAATTTCCTACTTAAATGCCAAAACTTCGTACTCCATTTCTGATAAAGAGCACAAAGATTTAAAAAAAAAAAAACTTATGTTTGACCCAAAGCTCTGTTGACATTCTATTAAACAAACATCAACCTATTTAATTTTCATAATGTAAATGGCAGATATTTTTATAATTCTTATGCTAATAAATCATTTCCCTGATGTTTTTGGTAAAACTGAATATACATAATAAAGTCCAGAATCATGAATTGTTTTAAATAATTTCTTCTTTGTGATTACAAGTATACCTTTACAGGAAGTTAGTATACTCACACAGAAGATAATTTTTTGGAGGAAAAGGCCAACTGTAGAAACTCCCAGAAACACAGTAGTGAAAAGCATCCACCGAATGCCAAGAAAGTCATGTCCAGGATACAAATAATCAAGTAGAAACCTGATCGCCTGGAATAATAATAGTTCAAATAATTAAAAGGTGAATGACATTTATAATATTTCAGTAAATAATAATAATCTTTAGAAACCATCAACCTCCTCCAAGAGGAAACGACACCCCTCAGATATCACCAGGGGATTCCACTGCTTCAAAACGGATTGGAAGTTATGAGTCTCATGGTTTTTGCATGGCTGGTAGTGTTTTTAGGCATTCCAAATGTAGAGTGTGTTTTTTTCTTGATGTAAAGCAGGGATATCCAATTTTATGGCTTCCTTGGGCAATATTAAAAGAAGAAAAGTTGTCTTAGGCCACACATAAAATACATTAATACTAATAATAGCTGATGATCTAAAAAAAATCAGAAAAAGGCCAGGCACAGTGGCCCACGCCTGTAATCCTAGCACTGTGAGAATGCTGAAACCGGCGGATCACCTGAGTTCAGGAGTTCCAGACCAGCCTGGCCAAGATGGCGAAACCTTGTCTCAACTAAAAATACAAAAATTAGCCAGGTGTGGTGGCAAGGGCCTGGAATCCCAGCTACTCAGGAGGCTGAGGCAGCAGAATCACTTGAACAAGGGAGGCAGAGGTTTCAATGAGCTGAGATCGCACCATTGCACTCCAGCCCAGGAGACAAGAGGGAAACTGTGTCTCAAAAAAAGAAAAACTACCAACCAAAAAAAAAAAATTTTTTTTTTTTGCGACAGTGTCCCACTCAGTTGGCCAGGCTGGAGTGCAATGGCACAATCTCGGCTCGCTACAACCTCTGACGCCTGGGTTCAAGCCATTCTCCTGCCTCAGCCTTTAGAGTAGCTGGGATTACAGGTGCCTGCCACTATGCCCAGCTAATTTCTATATTTTTAGTAGAGACAGGGTTTCACCATGTTAGTCAGGCTGGTCTGGAACTCCTGACCTCAACTAATCCACCAGCCTCAGCCTCTCAATTATAGGAGTGAGCCACTACACCAGGCCCATCATTTCTTTATGTTTGGATAACACAAGGACTTGAAGACCCTTTCTTCTTTGGGTCAATCAATGACCTACACCATACACACTTTACAAAACAAAGGACAATACAGTCATTCACATCCTGGTCCTGTCAGTCCTAGTGACTCCCGCATTGCAAACCTCCCAGCAGGTGCAGCCCTTTCCTCTCCATCTGATGGGCTTCTCAGCTCCCATCACACTGACTGGACACAGACTCCCTAGAGGCAGCCCCCAAGAGCAGAAGACAGGGATGACACAGAATTTCCTAAAAAGTCATCAAACCAGATGACACAAAACTCAGATGACATTTCACTTTGTTTTGGTTCATTTTGTTTGAGACAAGAGTGCAGTGGGCGATCTCGGCTCACTGCAACCTCCAACTCCTGGGCCCAAGTGATCCTCCCACCTCAGGCTCTCCAGTAGCTGAGACTACAGCCATGAGACACCAGGCCTGACTCATCATTTTTGGAATCTTTTGTTAAGGATGGGGTTTGGCTATGATGCCCAGGCTAGTCTTGAACTTCTGGACTCAGGTGATCTGCCTACCTTAACCCCCCAAAGCGCTGAAATTACAGGCCTGCACTGTGTAATGTGCCACATGACACAGCCCAATAACAAGGAAGAAACTAGGGTCCAGTGTCTACTCACAAGGGTGGAGTGATGGCTGAGAAACTCCAGCAGGAGGAGCCAAAAGAGCAGCCGCCACACCCACATCTCCTCGTCTTCTCAGGGTGCCCTGAGGCGGCCAGGACAGAGATGGCAGCGGCTTAGGGCTAGGGGAAGGAAGGGGGTGGGGATGGGAGGGAAGGGGAGGGAGGGGAAAGGGAATGTTGGGCACCCGGTGGAGGGGGAGGACAACAGTCCGGGAAAGGATCTGGTTTAAACTAAGTCTTCAAGGGAGAGTGGGAGGTTCAGCTACAAGTCAGGGAGAAAGTCTATCAGGGAAGCAACAGGATATGCGGGGCAAGAAAGCAGGAGGCTCAGGAGCAATTAGACGGAGACCAGGGCTCTGGTTTCCACCAAACCTTCTCCTGTTTGGGCGCTGCCTAAGCAACCCTGGGGCTTTATACTGCCTCTCCACCAATCACAGGCCTCGGAACATAATACCTCACAGTGGACATTCCACAGAGCACCTGTGTCCTCCAATGCCCCTCCCCCATCTCAGGCCCCCTACTTGACTTCCAAGGACAGGTCCTCTCTGGAACCTTCACAGACCTCACTTCTGGTCTTTCCCACCAGCTCCCTGTCCCTGCTTCTGAGCGGCTCCTTCCTTCCTGAGCTCCCAGGGTTTCTCACAGTCAGTCTTGGCTGCAAAACATAAGAAACAAATGATGGCAGGATGGCAGGAAGAACCCCACACACAAGCAGAGTAGGAGCTCCACAGCCCCCTCTCAGCCATTCATATTCTAAGCAACAAAACATCAGAAGGATACAGAAGGTCCCAATAATAAAGCATCTCCATCACATCCATGGAGCCATCGTCCATCATCCTGTATCTCGGATGACGGCAGATGAGGGGATGTGGAGCAACATTCATTTTAAGCATGCATGCATGGTACATTTACAAAAATTAAACGCAATTATCTTGTTCATCAAGCAAATCTCAGCATATTTCAGAGAAATCCAATCACGCAGCATGTTTCTGATCATAGAATTGTGCTAGAAGTCAATGATTAAAAGCTATCCAAAAATTATTATATGCTTGGCAATTCAAAGCATACAAACATAAGAAACATAAACATAAACATTCTTTCTTATGTTTATAAGAATCCAAAATGAAACAAGACTGCTTTTATACTCAGTGATAAGATCATAACATGACAATCAAATGTCTCCCTCTAGCCCAGGAATTCCACTTTGTGGCACAAGGTTGTGTGGTCTCAAATCACCCCTAACCCACTTAGCCATGTTAACATCTGAAACAGGGTGATGTTGTCACTTATCTATATTATCTTACTGCCTGTGAAGGTGGACTTTTAATTCTGAACCCTAATGAGGAGGAGAAAACCAAGTTGACTCTCATGGTTGACTTCCCAGGGATGGCCACGGAATCTGTGCATTTCAAGAGACAAAGTTCATGAGCCTCTCTCCTGGGGGATTTGGCCACAATACCCAGAGGATTTAGCAGATCATGAGCGATGGGTGGGGAGTGCCAGGCAGGTGGGCAGGACTCAGAGGTTTGGTGACCAGATCAGACCCCCACTGTCCATCATCTTTCCTAGCCCCGTCCTCAGCTACACTTCCCAAAGGCCTGCTTCTGCCTGATCACACAGTGTGCTCAAACTCACTCAGGCCTCTCGCAGCTGAAAATCACTGCTTTCAGTGTCTTTACAGTTTACTATGATATAAAGTTACTGTAAACTGCAAATATTCTATTCTTGCTACAAATGCCTTTATAGAAAAACAACCCTGAGACACAAGCAAAATGAAACAGTGATATGGCATTCAATTCTATTCGTATGCTGTCACCTGCATAAAGAGCCCCAGATTTGGGTTGTCTTGGTTGTGAAAGGAGAGACCAAGTAAGTGGGTGTTGAAGTCAGATTAGCCCAAAAGTGAATGGCAGAGAGTACCATGACGTCCATGAAGGGTTGCTGGGGTCACTTTGATTATAGCCCAAGCAGAGACAGGGCAAGGAAGGAGATGTGAGCAGAGTTTGGGGAGGTAATTCATGTAGCCCAGGAAAGGCTACCCAAAGCCAGGGTCAACCTCCCTTGCAGGCAGGTCCCTCGTGGAGGCACAGCCACACACCTTAGATTTGGGACCAGCTGTGTGACGCTGGGCTGGTTTCCTTCCACACAATGGGAGTGTCAATGCCTGTGTCAAAGGCTGTGTGAGGAGAGGGGGAAGCAACGTGCTGAGCACCCATGTACTGGGTGTCATCACATCACAAGGACACCTTTCCTTCCAGAGCTGGCACCTGGGAAGGCCCTTGGCACTAAAGGCAGTGATGATCATAACAGCAGCAAATCATCATTTATGGCTGATGATGGAGAGCCACAGGTTAGGGGTCCTAGGTCCTTGATATCAATGAGGGTCTGGGGACTCCTGGGGACAGCTGAGTGAGTCCTGTAGGTCTCCTGGGTCCCCAGGGGCCAGGTCTGTCTTCAGTGGCATTAGGCCTAGGCTGGGATGCTGAGACAGCCACTGGACCATCGGCAGGACAAACAGGCACAGAGGCAGTGGATCCATCAGAGATGGCAGGTGTGGGATCATCTGTCCACCAAGTAGAGTCACCAGTCCTGGCTGACCACTGCTTCCACAGACGATGCCCTGTCCCTTGCCTCACACTTTGGCAGGGCAGTGGCTAGCACCTGGGGCCTCACAGAGCATCCCTCTAAGACCTCTGTGTCCTGGTCATTGAATGGGCACTTGAATGTTCCAGGGCCACTGGAACAAGGAGGAAGAATCAGGCCCCACGATGTTCTGGGACAGTGCTTAGCACAGGAAAGTGCACAGAATGCATGCACGACACAGGGGAACTGTTGGTGTGGGAGCCAATATTTCATGACCTCCAGCCCTAATCTGAGCACTCTCACCTGTAAAATCTGAAACAGGGGACTTACAGGAAAGATAGCACCTGATTTAACTTAAAGGAAATAAAATGCTGAATGTTCCCACTCCTGATAGCCTTACAAATCAACTCTTGCAATGCTCCCATCTTCACCACTATCATATGGGGTAACTGAGGCAATCAGAGATTTACTGACGCAATGCCACTCAGCTGATTCTGAGTTCACTGCTGATCACAACTGAACAAACTCCTTTTTCTGAGGTTTACCCTGTTTGATCATGCTGCTGCTGATTTTGTGCAGCTCTGGGACAAACTCCACCTGGCTGAGGATAAAGCAAATCAGAGGTGACTCAGTCCTGCTGTCATTTCCTATCAATTCTCCACTCTCCTCCTCTGCCCCTCCACAGTCCCCCACACAGGCTGACACTGTATGGTAGCCCTAGCGGAGTCCACTGAGTATTTCAGGTTCTCCTCTGGGCCCCTTGAAGGTGGAGGTAGTTATGGGATTTGCTTTGACTCAGGAGATGTGAGTGGAAGTGAAGTGTGTCACCTCGAGTCAAAAGAGCTGGAAGCCATTCAGACTGGCCACCCTTTCCTTCATATATTAGAGCCGCTGATAGGTCCCATATAGAGGCTGCTCCTTTATTCGGGTGGCAGATGAGGGGATGTGGAGCACAGGGCCCAGGAGCGCCATGGAGGATGTGCAGCGTGAGTGGGAAAAGAGTCTTCAGTGTTGTACATTTCCATGTTGGGGGCCTGTTTATTGCCTACAGTGATACCTGGTCCATCCTAGCAGGCACACACTATCTACTCCATGCTCTGTGAAGCAGGCTAGCCTACCATCAGAACATAAACTGGTTGTAGGACACACATAAGCTTCAGTTCCAGCTCTGCCTCTTATTAACTGCAACCTCAGGCATTTAACTTTCATTCTCTGAGCCTCCGTTTCAATTCTGTAAAATGAGTTGGTTATACTACTTCAGGTTGTGGACAGAATGAAATGAAATAAAAATGCATGTAGAGCACTGAGCCCAGGGTCTGGCGCACACAGTGAGTACTTTATATCAGCCATGTAACTTCATAATGCACAGTGATTGTCAATATTCAGACAATGCAGCAAATTATTACCAGAAAAGTAAACTTACTTGCATATGTATTCTTTCAATCTTTATTTTTAAACAGATAGGAGAAAACTATGAATACTCTTTCATATCTAGTGTTTTTCTCTTAATAGCATATTGTTAAAAATTTTTTATCTTGGCCTGTCACGATGGGTCATGCTTGTATTCCCAGAACTTTGGGAGGCCAAGGCGGGTGGATCATGAAATCAGGAGGTTGAGACCAGCCTGGTCAATATGGTGAAACCCCCGTCTCTACTAAAAATACAAAAATTAGCCAGGTGTGGTGGCATGCACCTCTAGTTCCAGCTACTTGGGAGGCTGAGGCAGAAGAATCACTTGAACCTGGGAGGCGGGGATTGCAGTGAGCCAAGATCATGCCACTACACTCCAGCCTGGGTGACAGAGCAAGACACTCTTTCAAAAGGAAAAAAATATACATACATATATATTTTTATATATATAAATATATATGTAAATATATATATATTTATATATATGTAAACATATATATATGTAAATATATGTACATACATATATACACACATATAATGTCAAAAACAAAAGATCATTTATAAAATCATTTTAAATGACAAGATAATGTTTAATTTAATGAATAATTTAATTATTACTATTGGACTTTCTGTAGATGGCACAGAGCATTCAAAACAAATGAAGCAGAATTTAAAAAGTATTACTTGTAAAATAAATGTGATATTATTAATTATTTGATTCAAAAATATAGAACTATATATGTAATATAAAATGTTCTTCTAATTACGAATCATATTAAAAATAATTTAGAAGCTGCTGATTTTGATTTCTGTTTCAAATTTTGCAAAATAATTTTTTTTTTTTTAAAGACAGACTCTCCCTCTGTCACCCAGGCTGGAGTGCTGTGGTGCAATCTTGGCTCACTTCAACCTCCGACTCCCAGGTCCAAGCGATTCTCCTGCCTCAGCCTCCCGAGTAGCTGAGACTACAGCCACATGCCACCATACCCGGCTAAATTTGTGTTTTTAGTAGAGGCAAGGTTTCTCCATGTTGGTCAGGCTGGTTCTGAACTCCTGACCTCAGGTGATTCACTTGACTCAGCCTCCTGAAGTGCTGGGATTACAGGCATGAGCCACAACTCCCTGCCTAAATGTTGCAGGATAATAAATGGCCTTTTGAAGTACTGCTGGACACTTATCTGGTTGTTTTTCTTTAGGTTAACATGCCAGCAATGATTCTTTTTGACTTCCTGACCAATACAGTGGTTTTTACCCAAATAATTCAACTACTCTACTCCATCCCTAAGCTACTTGCATGGAAGGAAAAAGGAGGAAAAAGCCAGTACTGTGACTGCCTACGCTCCCCCCAGCATGGCCCCCTGTGAGACGTGGGGCAGCCGAGACCAGGAACTGTTCCAGGGCGCCAGGCCCCGTCTGTCTGCACTCACTCACCTTCCTCAGGTACTTGCATGAGGGATGGCACTGACTTTACATGCTGCTGCAGCTCCTTGGTGAGTTGGCCCTGGTCATGGGACAGGAATTGTGGGGTCAGAACAATAGAGGGCTTCACCACCTGCAGAATGGGAACAGAAGCTCATGATGAGGGCCAACCCATTAGATAATTAAATTTTTAAAAAGTTTCTTGAATGAGTGGAAAAACAAGGTGATGCTTGAGTCTATAGTTGTCAAGAGCATGGGGGCCACAGAAAAGGTCAGAACCAAGTTCAAATTCTTGTACTTTGAATTTCTACTTCATGCTATGCCAAATTAATTTACCCGTCTTCACCTGAATTTTCTTTTGTGTGAAATGGAAACTATTTCATTCCTCATTCAGTTTCTGTCAAGGATTCTAAAACACCCAACTCATTTATATGTATCGTCATTTCTGTCATTTCTGTGGAATCAATTTCACTATTATTGGACACACAGTTCTGTGCCTAAAACCTACAAAAAAGAAAATCTTACATCTAAAAAGTGTCAGTGATTTGTCATTGTTATATTATTAATCATAACTGTGTTTAATCCACAAGGCCCTGTGCATGGCAGGTGCTCAACAAACACTTGTTCAATCAGTGCATGTGGCCTCTGCAGCCACACTGTTTGGGTTCTATTCGGCCTCTACCACTCATTAGCTGAGTGATGTGAGCAAGATAATTCATGTCTTTATGTCTTCATGTCCTTCTCTATAAAAAATATATAATAAGAGTCCCCAGCTCCTTAGGTTGTTGCCAGGGGTGAGTAATTTGGCAAATAGTAGGGGCTTGTTAAATATTAGCTGTGATAAACTCCTTCCAAATCGTCCTTTTCAGAGCCACAGACAAGGTCACAGTGCCACCTGGCGACCCTAGAGTATAAGTACACATGATCACCAATATGCTCTCTCTCCACCACAGGTCCAAAACTGAGTAGTTACCTCCTGGAGGTTTCTGCTGCATCTGCCTTCTCAGTGCTCACGTAAAGACTTTTGTATTTTCTTCCTCGCATTCCTGCAGATGGGGTTCACGTTGCCCAACACAGCTGGGTGATCCACACAGGGCAGTGACCACCTGTGCCAGCCCTGTGACGTCGCTGGAGGACCACTGTTCCTTCCTTCTCATGTTCTGGGTAGATGCCAGGGCTGGGATGACCCATACCCTCAAGTTTCTTGCTTTGGAAAGTCACATTTTCTTTTGGCAAGGAAGGCAAAGGTCACAGAAAGCCAGAGACCCGTGATCTCTCTGTGTCGCAGGTTCAAACTACAAAGGCCTGAACACTCTATGCTAAAAGCCCAAGGCTCGGGTGCTCCCCAGGGCTTCTCACCTCACGACCTCTGCTGAGGGAGGATGAATACTATGTCCTTCCAGGGCTTTGGGAGCTTGTAGCAAGCAGCCTTCCCAGCACAAAATCTTTTGGAAACCTCAAACTGTGTCTAAAACACTCCTGCACATTTTGAATCCTATTTCCCATATCTCAGCATGTTTTAACAAAAAAAAGAAAAACTCAATTTCCTAAATATGCAAGAGCAATGGATATTGTAGGACAATGTGACTTTTAAAAACATGTTATTTAGAACGGGCACGGTGGCTAATGCTTGTAATCTCAGCACTTTGGGAGGCTAAGGTGGGTGGATCACCTGAGGTCAGGAGTTAGAGACCAGCCTGACCAACAAGGAGAAACCCCATCTCTACTAAAAATACAAAATTGGCCAGGCATGGTGGCACATCACTGTAATTCCAGCTATTCAAGAGGCTGAGGCAGGAGAATCACTTAAACCTGGGAGGCGGAGGTTGCAGTGAACTATCATGCCATTGCACTCCAGCCTGGGCAACAAGAGCAAAACTCCATTTCAAGAAACAAACAAACAAAAAAACTGAGTCTCAGAATGATGAAGCACTTTGTCCGATGTGACTCAGCTAGTAAGTTTTGAGACCTTGCATCCAATCAAAGCCCATCTCATTCTAAAGGCCATGCTATGTATTCTCTGGCCCATGGAGAATAATTTTAACACAATCAGTGCCATTTCTACACAACAACGTTCTTGTCTCAAGTCCAAGAGTGCCTCCTATACCTTCTATAACACTGGCTTTCTGGTCACTAAAGATGCCATTCTAATGTATAATCATGTGGCCAATGGAGATATGACCAATGTCATCATGTGTGTACACCCATAAGCTGTACACACTCCTCCTTTGTCTGATGAAATTCAAGTACCCTTTTTGATTACTTAGCAAAACTGAGCTTTAAAAGAGTTAAGGTTTTGCTGGGTGTGGTGGCTCATGCCTGTAATCCCAGCACTTTGGGAGGCTGAAGTGGGTGGATCACGAGGTCAAGAGATTGAGACCATCCTGGCCAACATGGTGAAACCCCATCTCTACTAAAGGTACAAAAATTAGCTGGGTGTGGTGGTGCTCGTCTGTGGTCCTGACTACTCAGGAGGCTGAGGAAGGAGAATTGCTTGAACCATGGATGCAGAGGTTGCAGTGAGCTGAGGTTATCCCACTGCACTCCAGCCTGGTGACAGAGCAAGACTCTGTGCATATATATGTATGTATGTATGTATATGTGTGTGTGTGTGTGTGTGTGTGTGTGTGTGTGTGATATGTATATAAAGGGCTAAGGTTTTTGTATCCATGGAACTTTCTGTATTGCTTTTGAAGTCTCTAGGTAAATGAATATTCTTCTAATAGTGACCTGTGTCATGGATGAACCTGGAAACTATCATTCTCAGCAAACTGACACAAGAACAAAAAATCAAACACCACATGTTCTCACTCATAGGCGGGTGTTGAACAATGAGAACACATGGACACAGGGAGGGGAGCATCACACACTAGGGTCTGTCGAGAGGGGGAAATAGGGGAGGGACAGCGGGGGATGGGGAGTTGGGGAGAGAGAGCATGGGGAGGAATGCCAGATATAGGTGATGGGGAGGAAGGCAGCACACCACACTGCCATGTGTGTACCTATGCAACAATCTTGCATGTTCTTCACATGTACCCCAAAACCTAAAATGCAATAAAAAAATAAAATTAAAAAAAAAAGTGACCTGTGATTTTGTTTTGATCAAGTGTTTTCAAATTTGTCATCTTTGAGGGGTTTCTACAGCATCAAACTCCTAAATTGAGTCTTTTTGGCTTAAAATTAACCTTGGGATTTTTCAGCTGGGTCCCTCAGGGAGTCTAAAGAATGTGTCTCTCATCTCGTTAAGACATTAAATGATTCAATTTAGTTGGTAGATTGTATGGGTGGGCATGGTCAAATGTGGTGATACTGCGTGGGAGGGAATCGTCTAATGAGGTGACATTAGATCTCATCTCAGTTATATTAATGGGTGTGTTGTTGATACACATGTTCCAAAAATTTTATACATTTATACAAATTGAATATGTTATGATTTACAAGTTTGATTGTTATGCTAAATATCTGCTAAAGTTCTATTTGTATGAACATGTTATTGATGTCTGGGCATGGTCACTCACTCCTGTAATCCCAGCATGCTGAGAGATGAAGACAGGTAGATCAACTGAGATCAGGAGTTCAAGACCAGCCTGACCAACACGGTGAAACCCCATCTCTACTAACAATACAAAAATTAGCCGGGCGTGGTGTCAGGCACCTGTAATCCCAGCTACTTGGGAAGTTGAAACAGGAGAATCACTTGATCCCAAGAGGCGGAGTTTGCAGTGGTCTGAGATCATGCCCATTGCACTCCAGCTTGGGCAACAAGAGTGAAACTCCATCACAAAAACAAAAAGAGTACAAAAATTAGCCTGGCATGGTGGCATATGCCTGTAGTCCCAGCTACTTGGGAGGCTGAGACAGGAGAACTTCTTGAACCCAGGAGGTGGAGGTTGCAGTAAGCTGAGATGCTGTCATTGCACTCCACCCTGGGCAACAGAGCAAGACTCCATCTCAAAAAAGAACAACAAAATAAGTTATTAATGTATTCGGAGGATTATATGAAATTTATAAAAGTCTGGTGGTCCTGATGTGATGCCGTCAGTCAGGATTCTGGTTACTCTCTTAAAATGCTGCACATAAGACTAGTAACTACATTTCCTTGTGAATCGGGAATGTTCAGCAGATTTTCATCATAACTATTGATTCCATCATCCACATTTACTGTTTTGAATTCGTCTCTAAAAATATCTGTAATCAGCAACAGTCCAAATTCAGATTTTCTTTTTTTTTTTTTTTAAGATGGAATCTCACTCTGTCACCTAAGCTGGAGTGCAGTGGCGCCATCTCTGCTCACTGCATCCTCTGTATCCTGGGTTCAAGTGATTTTCCTGCCTCAGCCTCCCAAGTAGCTGGGACTAAAGGTGCCCACCACCATGCCCAGCTAATTAGTGGCAGTTGAGACAGGGTTTCACCATGTTGGCCAAGCTGGTCTCCAACTCATGACCTCATGATCTGCCATCCACCTCAGCCTCCCAAAGCGCTGGGATTACAGCTGTGAGCCACCATGCCTAGCTCCCAAATTTGCTTTTCATGGAAAAAACCCTACCAAGTCCTCTTGAACACAGGTTTCTGATTACTCATAACAATGAACTACCCAGGCTTCACCACTATGTGATATAGGCATGGTAGAAACTCACACATGCACCCCCTCAATACATTAAAAATAAATTTAAAAAAAAAAATCAAAGGCCCAGGTCCAGTGGCTCATGCCTGTAATCCCAGCACTTTGGGAGGCCAAGGCAGGCAGATCACTATGGTCAGGGGTTCGAGACAAGCCTGGCCGACACGGTGAAACCCCAAGTCTACTAAAAATATGAAAATTAGCCAGGCATGGTGGTGCATGCCTGCAATCCCAGCTACCAGGGAGGCCGAGGCATGACAATTGCTTGAACCGGGAGCAAGAGTTTGCAGTGAGCCAAAATTATACCACTGCACTCTAGCCTGGGTGACAAAGTGAGACACTATCTCAAAAATAAAAATAAAAATAAGTAAACTAAAAATTTTCTAGAACTCTAATAAGGAAACTTAAGTGTTCAAAAAACTGCTAAGCGAGATGAAGCAAAACAAAATATCCATAAAATTAAGATAATGTCTTTATAACGATAACGTGTAGTTAAAACACTGTTGATTTATTACTTTTTATTTTATTTTATTTTATTTTGAGATGGAGTCTCACTCTGTCAACCAGGCTGGAGTCCAGTGGCGCAACCTCCACCTCCTGAGTTAAAGCGATTCTCCTGCCTCAGCCTTCCAAGTAGCTGGGACTGCAGGCACTCACCACCACACCGAGGTAATTTTTGTATTTTTAGTAGAGATGGGGTTTCACCTTGTCGGCCAGGCTGGTTGAAGGCTTCTGATTTCAGGTGATCCCCTCCCCACGCCGGGGACTCCCATAGTGCTGGGGTCACAGGCATGAGCCACCGCGCCCACCCTCCTTGTTTTGTTTTCTAGATTTAAGAAACGTTTTTTTCATAAGTTATGTATAACTTACACCGATTGGGTAAAGCACACTCTTGTGAACAGAGGTGGGTGGATGCGTTTGTTTTTCCTCCCTACTTGATCCCTCCTAAGTTTGGAACGGGTTCATAAATATTCTCGTTTTCCGTATCGTTCTTATGTTCTCATTACCAGCGGGCGACAATCCGTAAGAGTGGTTCCGTTGAGCGAAGCCTCCTGTTTAAGAATACGGAAAACGCCTGGCCCCGAGTGTGCAGACACAGTGAGGAGGAGTGCCCCTGCCTGCAGGCCCGAGAGCCTTAGAGCTTTACGGCAGCAGCACGGCAGGGAGCGACCCGCAGCTGCTCGCGGGCAGGAAACGTGGCGCAGCCCCGGGCGGCCCTCCTGCCGGCGGGGCCTTCTGCTTCCTGGGGTCTTTCTCCTCCGCCCCGCCGGCTGCTGGGGGATTGGCGGCTGCCCTGAGCCTGGAAGTCGCTCCATCGCCTCCTCCCGCAGCGGGAAGGGAGAGGCTGCGTCGGCTGGAGAGAGGTGGGCGGCCTGAGGCGAGAGCCAGGCTAGCCCCCGCGGGGAACACAGCGACCTGGGCAGCAGAGGCCTCGGCGGCTGCTCCGCAAACTTCCAGAGAATCAAAGGCGCCTCGCGAGAAGATGCAGCCAGTGGAACGCCGCCCCGCAGCCCCGGGAGGGGGCAGCAGCGAGGCAGCCAGGAAGCCCGGGGCAGGGCGCTGGGCACCTTAACCTTCGCTCCAGCCTCCAGGGGGCGCCGCACCAGCCTCCGGGCGGCACACACACCAACCTCCATGGGGCGCCGCACCAACCTCCAGGGGGCACCCACACCAGCCTCCAGGGGGCACCCACACCAGCCTCCAGGGGGCACGAACACCAGCCTCCAGGGGACGCCCACACCAGCCTCCAGGGGGCACGAACACCAGCCTCTGGGCGGCAGGCACACCAGCCTCCAAGGGGCGCCACACCAACCTCCGGGGAGAACCCACACCAGCCTCCAGGGGGCGCCCACACCAGCCTCCAGGGGGCACGAACACCAGCCTCCGGGCAGAACCCACACCAGCCTCCAGGGGGCACTGCACCAACCTCCGGGCAGAACCCACACCAGCCTCCAGGGGGCACCCACACCAGCCTCCGGGCAGCACCTACACCAGCCTCCGAGGGGCGCCGCACCAGCCTCCAGTGGGCACGAACACCAGCCTCTGGGGGGCGCCGCACCAGCCTCCGGGGGGCACCCACACCAGCCTACCAGGCTTCACCCGCCGACACCACACTGGGGCGGGAACTGCACTGTCGGCCCCGCCACACTGACCCGGGCGGCCCAGGCCCCAGCAGCCAGAGGACAAGCCCATGCCCACTGCCCCCGGCTGACGAGGAGACGGATGGCACCCTAGAAAAGGGCAAGAGCTCAGAGCTCGGCCCGTGCCAGGAAAGGCCAGGAGCAGAAGACGGAGAGATGGAGATGGAGAAACAGCAGCGGGAAGGAGCGCGCTTCACGGGCGGGTCCCCATCGCTGGCGGGGTTGCCATCCGCTGGCGGGGTTCCCATCCGCTGGCGGGGTTCTCATCCGCTGGCGGGGTTCCCATCCGCTGGCGCGGTTAGCGCATGAAGAGGATGAGGCAGCAGAAAGCAGAAACGAGAAGGTGCAATGACACAGCGGAGCACAATGCAGAATCCAGTCCCAGGACTCCAGTCAAGGCTGGCTTTAATTCCAGCTCACACCCACCCCAATCAGAGAGGATCAGGGGAGAGGGGGGACCCAAGGAACACTGGAACCTGAAGCGCTGGGAATCTGAGGCCGGGACTGATTGCGGGAAAGAGAGGGCATCAGGAAAGGAGAAAGTGAGGCAGAATGGAGGGCGCAGGATTGGAGCAGTGAGCTGGGTTAGGAAGGATTAGAAATCAGAAGCTTAGGAAGGATCCAGAAAGAAACTGTCCATAAGAAGGTGCATGCTGCGGCCACGTGGCACAGTGGCTCACACCTGTAATCCCAGCACTTTGGGAGGCCCAGGTGCGTAGATCACCTGAGGTCAGGAGTTGGAGAACAGCCTGGCCAACATGGAGCATCCCTGTCTCTACTAAAAATACAAAAATTAGTCTGGCGTGGTGGTGTGCGCCACTAATCCCAGCTACTCGGGAGGCCGAAGTGAGAAAATTGCTTGAACCTGGGAGGTGAAGGTTGCAGTGAGTTGAGATTGCACCACTGCACTCTAGCCTGGGCAACAAGAGGGAAACTTGGTCTCAAAAAAAATTATTGATTAACTAATTAATGAGGAAATGTCTTGGAAACCGTTGTTCTTACAGTTTTGGGGGTTTTGTTTGCTGTTGCTGCTCTATGTAGGGGCATATTTTTTTTCCTTTTATGACAGAGTCTTACTCTGTCACCCAGACGGGAGTGCAGCAGTGTCATCTCGGCTCACTGCAACCTCCACCTCCTGGGTTCAAGCGATTCTCCTGCCTCAGCCTCCCAAGCAGCTGGGATTACAGGGGCAGGCCATCAAGCCCAGCCTTTATTTTCTTATTATTATTTTTCTTTTTTGATATGGAGTCTCACTCTGTTGCCCAGGCTGGAGTGCAGTGGGACCGTGTCGGCTCAATGCAACTTCCATCTCCTGGGTTCAAGCAATTCTGCCTCAGCCTCCTGAGTAGCTGAGATTACAGGCACCCACCACCATGCCCAGCTAATTTTAGATTTTTAGTAGAGATAGGGTTTCACCATGTTGACCAGCCTGGTCTTGAACTTCTGACTTCAGGTGACCTGCCCACCTCAGCCTCCTAAAGTGCTGGGATTACAGGCATTATTGCAGGAGCAGCCGCGGGAAACAGATCTCTCGGACACCGAATATTGGAGGAAGGAGTTTATTCGGCCAGGAGCCAGGTGGCATATTTGCCTAATATCCAAGCTCGCCTAACAAAGGAAGGTTCCTTCTTTATATAGACTTATACTTTAGATGTTACACGTGGAAGAATCTTAGGTTTATAGCTTAATATATGAAAAGGGTCTCTGTTTAGTCTTAGGAATTACATATGAAAACAGTTTCAGTTTACAATCTTAGGTTTTACATATCAAAAGGGTTTCAGTTTATAGTCTTAGGAATTAACATATGAAAAGGGCTTCAGTTTACAGTCTTAGGAATGAAAAGGGGAAGTTGATCTGAGATGCCTGGGTCTCCCTCTTCAGCATGAGCCACAGAAAATATTTTTAAAATTGCAGCTGGTACACACCTGTAGTTCCAGCTACTTCAGAGTCCTAGGCAGCAGGATCACTCAAGCCCAGGAGGTCAAGGCTGCAGTGAGCCATGTTCACACCACTGCACTCCACCCTGAGTGACAGAGTGAGACCCTCTGTTAAAACAAAGACCTCAATGGGTCTCCATTGCATATGCAGTCACCCATGTAGCCAAGATCTAGAGAAATGTTGTCTTTCACAAATGCAGATGTACAAAAAGGACATCTCTTTGTTTATTGAGGAAGTTTCAATGTTTTTTATGTACACACACAATGCTTACATACAAACTGAACATTGGGAGGTTGGGTGTGGTGGCTCATTCCTGTAATCCCAGCACTGTAGGAGGCCAAGGTGGCAGGAGGAGGAGGGCAGATCACTTAAGTTCAGTAGTTTGAGACGAGCCTGGCCAATGTGGAGAAACCCCATCTCTACTAAACATACAAAAATGAGCCAGGCGTGGTGGCAGGCACCTGTAATCCCAGCTACTCAGGAGGCTGAGGCAGGAGAATCGCTTGAGTCCAGGAGGGGGAGGTTGCAGTGAGCCTAGATCGTGCCACTGTACTCCAGCCTGAGTGACAGAGTGAGACTCCCTTTCAAAAAACAAACAAAGCTGACATTGTGATAATGCACTTTTGTGGAGTCACATTTCTGATGTCCAAGGCAGTGGGGGGAACGTGTGCCCCAGCTCTAGGAGAGACTGGTCTGCCTTCTGGATTTGATCTGTCTGGGTCCCTGGCTGATAGAGGATGCCTGCCAACTTGAGGGCAGATCTTCCCTCCCTAGTCCACTCAAACTCACACAGTCATCTCCTCGGGAAACACCCTCCCAGACACACCCCAAATCACCTTTTACCAGGTTTCCACGTGTCCTTTCATTCAGTCAACATGACACCTACAATTTTGGGGGGGATTTTTGGAAAGGGTCTCGCTTTATTACCCAGGCTGGAGTTCAGTGGCTGGAACACACCTCACTGCAGCCTCCAACCACCCAAGCTCAAGTGATCCTTCTGCCTCAGCCTCCAGAGTAGCTGGGATTACAGGTACACACCACCACACCCAGCTAATTTTTGTAGAGACGGGGTTTCAACATGTTGACCAGGCTGGTCGTGAACTTTTGGACTCAAGCAATCTGCCTGCCTTGGGTTCTCAAAGTTCTGGGACTTCAGGATTTCAGGCATGAGCCACCTTGCCTGATTGACAAGTAAAATTAAGTCCCCAAGCCCATCCGTTGTCAACAAGGCACCCTTCTCTATCTCCTTACCCCATGCTTAATTTATAAATAAATAACAAGGTAATCGTTCACCTGTCATGATTCAACTAACATGATGCAACTTCTGGCGTACGACCGAAAGCACACTCATCCCTTCCCCAGAATTCATCTCTCAGGATTTCAACATTACAGATTTAAATTTTGGGGGATTCTAATTTTTGAGATTTTAAATGAGGTCTTTCGGGATTTAATCTATTTTACAACTGAGCACACTGAGCCACAGAGAGGGGATGTGAACTGCCCAGGGTCTCACAGGTGGTGAGGGTTTGTAGCTGGAACTTGAACCAGGGTCTACCTTGGAAAGAGATTTCATACTGAGCCTCTTCCTGAGAAGCCTGCTCTCTGGGGTTTGAAGGAAATTCATGGTCAGTAAACTGTGTCTCAGGAAATTGTTTCTCTATTGCATAAATCAGGATAAACAAGATTATGATGCAGTAACAAGCAGCCTCCATTCTCTCCTTTTTCTGTTTGTTTTTTTGTTTTTTATAGATGGAGTCTCGCTCTGTCGCCCAGGCTGGAGTGCAGTGGTGCGACATTGGCTCACTGCAACCTCCACCTCCCAGTTCAAGTAAGTTTCCTGCCTCAGTCTCCTGAGTAGCTGGGATTACAGGCACGCCTCACCACACCCAGGTAATTTTTGTATTTTTAGTAGAGGGAGAGTTTCATCATGTTAGCCAGGCTGGTCTTGAACTCTTGGTCTCAAATGATCCTCCAGCCTTGGCCTCCCAAAGTGCTGGGATTACAGGCATGAGCCACTACCCCTGGCACAACCCCCATTCTCAATGGCTTACAACAAAGTTTGGTTTCTGTCCCATATGACATATCCACAGCAGCCTAACGGATTCATCTGCATTGGAAACATCCAGAGTCCCGTGGCAAAAAGAAAAGAGACTCCTGGCCACTTGCTGACTCTGAAAGTTTCTGGTAAAAAGTGACACAGATGGCCAGGCACCATGGCTCACACCTGTAATCCCAGCACTTTGGGAGGCTGAGGCCTGCAGATCACCTGAGGTCAGGAGTTTGAGACCAGCCTGGCCAATATGGTGAAACCCCATCTCTACTAAAAATACAAAAATTAGCTGGGTGTGGCATGCACCTATAATCCCAGCTACTTGGGAGGCTGAGGCAGGAGAACTGCTTGAACCTGAGAGGCGGAGGTTGCGGTGAACTGAAATCATGCCACTGCACTCCAGCCTGGGTGACACAGTGAGACTTTGTCTCAAAAAAAAAAAGTGACACAGATTCCTCCCAGCCACATCACTGACCTAAGCAAGACATCAGCAAATATTGTAAACGCCAGTACAAGCCAGACAGCTGAAAGTTTTTGTTTCCTTTTGCTTCTTTTTCCTACCAAGATTCACTCTCCACCTTTATTTCCTCTTTCAATAACCAGTCCATGGTTTCACTTTCTTTACTATAAGCAACTGCTGGCCAGGAGCGGTGACTCATGCCTGTAATCCCAGCACTTTGGGAAGCCGAGGCGGGTGGATCACTTCAGGTCAGGAGTTCAAGACCAGCCTGACCAACATGGTTAAACCCCATGTCTAGTAAAAAAAAAAAAAATTAGCCAGGCAAGGTTGGGCACGCCTGTAATCGCAGCTACTAGGGAGGCTAAGGCAAGAGAATTGCTTGAACCCAGGAGGTGGGGGTTGTGGTGAGCTGAGATCTCGCCATTGCACTTCAGACTGGGCAACAGGAGCAAATCTCAATCTCAAAAAACAAAAAAAAAAAAAAGGAAAAGGAAAGGAAAAGAAAATGCTTTCTTCCATCTGACACAAGCCAGAAGAAAAAAATGTCATTTATTTTCCTGATAGGAGATTAATGCCCAGATTGTCCACGAGGTGGAGTCCTGCACCAGCTCTCTCTGACATCTCCTACTGTTCTAGGAATCTTCTCTTGCACACTTCTCTTGCAGTCTTTCCTGTCTCTTGGACTTTGCCTGCGGAGGTTTCTGCCTAACACGCCTTCTCTCCACGTCTCACTGTTATCCCCCTGCTTTATTTATTTGTTTTGTTGTTTGAGAAAGGGTCTTTGTCACCCAGGCTGGAGT